TTTGAGAGAACTCATACTGGAGATAAATTTTTTGAATGTAATAAAAATGGGAAAGCCCTCATTTATAAAGAAAATTTTCTTGAGCATCAAACGTGTCAAATTTTGGAGCAAGGTTCTGAATATAATTCTGAAAAATTCCATGATGAGGCTGCCTTTGTTGCACACAAGAGTATTCACACAGGAGAAAAGTCCTGTAAAGATGATGGATATAGCAAAAATCATGATAAGATAAAACTCTTTGATCAAAAAAGCACTGGAACAGAAGAGAAATACTCTAATCTTAAACTGTGTGGGAAATCCTTCTGTGAGAAGTCAGCTGTCATGGAACACCATAAAGTTAACATGGCTGTGAAACACTATGTATATAATGCCAGTGAGAATAATTTCAACAGGAAGTCTCATCTCGCTCAGTCTCAGAGAATTGCCACAGAAGAGAATGCATTGGTATATAATGACAAAACATAAACTGGGGATAAATCCTTTGAATATCATGAAAATAGAAAATCCTACCTGATGTCAGCCCACAAAGTATGCCAAAGAACTCACTCTAACATAAAATCCTATAAATATAATGAATGTGGGAAATCCTTCTGTCAAAAAGGACATCTCATTCAACACCAGAGAACCCACACAGGAGAGAAACCATTTGAATGTAATGAGTGTGGAAAAGCTTTCTCCCAGAAGTCTCATCTCAGTACACATCAGAGAATTCACACAGCAGAGAAACCCTATAAGTGTAATGAATGTGGGAAAACATTTGTCCAGAAATCAACCCTCAGAGGACATCAGAGAATTCATACAGGAGAGAAGCCCTATGAATATAGTGAGTGTGGGAAAACTTTTGTTCAAAAGTCAACCCTCAGAGACCATCATAGAATTCACACAGGGGAGAAATCATTTCGATGTAATGAATGTGGTAAAACTTTTGGCCAGAAATCAAACCTCAGAATACATCAGAGAATTCATGGTGGTGAGAAAACTTATCAATGTAATGAATGTGAAAAATCTTTCTGGCGGAAAGACCATCTCATTCAACATCAGAAAACACACACAGGAGAGAAACCATTTAATTGTAATGAATGTGGGAAA